ATAATTTTTGAGTTATTGCCTTTTGTTATTTTTCATACCTGATTTTTCACCTGAGTGGAGCATAACTCAAAAAGTGTTTGAGATATCAATATGAAATGTCATAGGTGGATAGATCTTTATAATTGAGGAGGAATGTTGTGCGCAAGAATGATAACTCTTCCCTGTACAATTTTTGAGTTATTGCCCTTTGTTTTGTTTCATGCTATTTTGTCCAGAGCTTATCTCAAAGAGTATTTGAGATATCAACTTGAAACTTCAAAGGTGGATGGATCTCATTGAGGAGGAGTGCAGTGCTTAAGAATGATAACTCTACCCTGCATTATTTTTGAGTTATTGCCCTTTGTTATTTTTAACCAGGTTTTCAATTTTGAAAATCCTGGTTATTAGATTGGGGTATGGCGGGCGGATGGGCGGATGGGCGGGCGGGCGTCAAACGAAATTGTGTCCGCTCTGTAACTCTTCAACCCTTTGAAGAATTTTGATGAAACTTCAGACAAATGTTTACCACATCAAGATGACGTGCAGAACGCATGTTCCGCATGGCTGGCTCCAAGGTCAAGGTCACAGTGACATTAACATTGAAAATCCTGTCCGCTCTGTAACTCTTCAACCCTTTGAAGAATTTTGATGAAACTTCAGACAAATGTTTACCACATCAAGATGATGTGCAGAACGCATGTTCCGCATGGCTGGCTCCAAGGTCAAGGTCACAGTGACATTAACATTGAAAATCCTGTCCGCTCTGTAACTCTTCAACCCTTTGAAGAATTTTGATGAAACTTCAGACAAATGTTTACCACATCAAGATGACGTGCAGAACGCATGTTCCGCATGGCTGGCTCCAAGGTCAAGGTCACAGTGACATTAACATTGAAAATCCTGTTTACATGATTTTAACTTGATTTGGCAGTCAAAGGTCATATCATCTTTGGAGGTAATTTAAAAAAGATATGATATATTATTATGCCCCCACAATGTTGGAGCATATAGCGTTGCACTTGTCCGTCCGTCCGTCCGTCAGTCCGTCCGTCCGTCCGTCAGTCTGTACGTCCCGAAATCTTGTGAACTCAACTCCTCTTAAACCGGATGGCAGATTTTGCTTAAACTTACAGGGATGAGCAACCTTAATGTGTAGATGGTAGTAAAGGAAGGAATTTTCGCTGCGACCAAATTTAACAGAATTATGGCCCTTTGTTGATTTTTTCACTAGATACTATGTAGAAATTTTGTGAACGCAACTCCTCTTAAACCAGATGGCAGATTTTGCTTAAACTTACAGGGATGAACAACCTTAATGTGTAGATGGTAGTAAAGGAAGGAATTTTTGCTGCGACCAAATTTAACAGAATTATGGCCCTTTGTTGATTTTTTCACTATATACTACACATGTATGTAGAAATTTTGTGAACGCAACTCCTCTTAAACCGGATGGCAGATTTTGCTTAAACTTACAGGGATGAACAACCTTAAGGTGTAGATGGTAGTAAAGGAAGGAATTTTCGCTGCGACCAAATTTTACTGAATTATGGCCCTTTGTTGATTTTTTCACTATATACTATGTAGAAATTTTGTGAATGCAACTCCTCTTAAACTGGATGGCAGATTTTCCTTAAACTTCCAGGGATGAACAACCTTAATGTGTAGATGGCAGTAAAGGAAGGAATTTTTGCTGCAACCAAATTTAACAGAATTATGGCCCTTTGTTGATTTTTTCATTATATACTATGTAGAAATTTTGTGAACGCAACTCCTCTTAAACCGGATGGCAGATTTTGCTTAAACTTCCAGGGATTAACAACCTTAATGTGTAGATGGTATTAAAGAAGGAATTTTTGCTGCGACCAAATTTAACAGAATTATGGCCCATTGTTGATTTTTAGTTTTCAACTTGTGGCACATGTAGTCCAAAAAATATTTGACCTAGAGTCATAAGATTGACAGAACAGTGGCGTGTGGGGGCATCCGTGTCCTATGGACACATTTCTAGTTTCATGTCTACTTTGTAACTTGTTTAGTGTTACGGGAGTTGAAGGAAAATCGGAACTAGTGTGTTACGCTTGACAGACGCTACCAAAGCTCCATAATTTTACCGATTGGGCACATATTTGCCCTCAAATAAAAAGTTTGTTGTCCCATACTGTAAACACCTTACATATTTTGCATGTGACATTTTGTGTATTCATTTACAAAAGTTATAAAGAAAAAATGTTCCATCAAAATTAACCCTGCTGTAGTGGTCATTTATCAGGTCTTGTATTTCATGATATTTATGGACTGTCCGTAAATTTATGGATAGTCTGGGACATTATCTTATATCCCAGGGATAGTCTAGAAATTTAAAGATTTTTAACCAGGTTTTTTGGAAGGAAAAAACTGGTTATTAGATCGAGGTAGGTCGGCGGGTGGGCGTAAACAATTTCTTCTGTGCGCAACTCCTTCTACATTTCTCAACGGATTTTGACCAAACTTTCACAGAAGCTTTGTCATCAAGTGCCCTGGGGCATAGTGTCGGGGGTTTTGCGATTGGATAATATTTGACCTAATTATGGCCCTTTGTTTTTTTTCTTTATATAGAATATATAGTGAACAATTTCTCCTGTGCTGAACTCCTCCTACATTTCTCAACGGATTTTGACCAAACTTTCACAGAAGCTTTGTCATCAAGTGTCCTGGCATATATTGTCAGGGTTTTGTGATTGGATAATATTTGACCTAATTATGGCCCTTTTGTTTTTTTTTCCTTATATAGAATATATAGTGAACAATTTCTTCTGTGCTGTCAACTCCTCCTACATTTCTCAACGGATTTTGACCAAACTTTCACAGAAGCTTTGTCATCAAGTGCCCTGGCACATATTATCAGGGTTTTGTGATTGGATAATATTTGACCTAATTATGGCCCTTTGTTTTTTTTTCCTTATATAGAATATATAGTGAACAATTTCTTCTGTGCTGAACTCCTCCTACATTTCTCAACGGATTTTGACCAAACTTTAACAGAAGCTTTGTCATTAGGTGCCCTGGCACATATTGTCAGGGTTTTGTGATTGGATGATATTTGACCTAATTATGGCCCTTTGTTTTTTTTCCTTATATAGAATATATAGTGAACAATTTCTACCGTGCGCAACTTCTCCTACATTTCTCAACGGATTTTGACCAAACTTTCACAGAAGCTTTGTTATCAAGTGCCCTGGCGCATATTGTCGGGGTTTTGTGATTGGATTTAATTTTTTACCTAATTATGGCCCATTGTTTTTTTTCCTTATACAGAATATATTGTGAACACTTCTTCTGTGGCAACTCCTCCTACATTATTCATGTTTTACATTGCACATAGTTACATTGTTTATTGCTTGTATTTGTATTTCAAATACAACATATTTATCTACAATGGTGATAATTGAAAACCTGGTTTCGTGGCATTGCCATGTTTCTTGTTCAAAATTATTATATTTTTTGTCCAGAGCATAACTCAAAAAGCCTTTGAGATATCAAAATGAAACTTCATAGGTGCATAGATCTCACTCAGGAGGTGTGCACTGCACAAGAATGATAACTCTACCTTTTATAATTTTTGAGTTATTGCCCTTTGTTCTTTTTCATACTTAATTTTTCAATTCAATTTTTTTCTCAAAAAGTATTTGAGGTATCAACTTGAAACTTCATAGGTGGATAGATTTTACTGAGGAGGGATGCAGCACACAAGAATGATAACCTACCCTGCATTATTTTTCAGTAATTGCCCTTTGTTATTTTCAGCCATCAGTATTCACATAGGTTTCAAATCTGTAATCACTATAGCCATCAGTTTTCATTACCAAAAGACCTCTTAAAATGGAATTATTCTGCTCTACTACATATACATTCTTCCAATGAGCAAACACATTCGGCGGGGGATGGCCATGTTGACATGGCTCTTGTATTTAATTGTTATTAAAATGATTTGGCAAATTTGCAGTTTTAGTTGTGGAGGAACACCTCATGAGGAAGTTGTTTTTATTTCCAAACTCGGCAAATGTTGTTTTTTTCCAAGCTAATCTCCCTGAACATAGTTAAAACACTTTTACCATTACAGCTGCATGGTGCACTTATGACACAATAGATTTGCTCTTATTTTCGAGACTGTGTCTTTACTAGTGTATTATGTACTCCCGGGTTGGCTGGGAAATTCCAAAGTATTCTTAATTCCCGGGCATGAGCTGGTCCGCACTATACATTCCTGATAACTGTTGACTGCTTCCAAAGTTCATGTAGTGAGTTGAAAAGCAAGTTAATGAAATAAATTAACCTTGACTCAAAAGTTCTGTCCATAAAGGCTAGAAAATATAATGGCTCGAAAATAATATCAACCTTGTACAGTCTAAACTGTCTTTTCAATCTATGGTATTTATTGGTAAGCATTCTTGACAGACATTATGATGTAATGGCAAAATTGATAGTTATGAAATAAGAAAAATGTATTGCCATTCTGTAACTTATTTGGAGAAGTTTTTACTTGAAAGAGTTGTACATCAGCTGTTTCAGAATTTACTGGTTTTGTAAGCAAATTACATTCTGGTAAAACAAGAAGTTTTTAAACTGTTTTACCTTAAAAATGACAATTTTTAGCAGGAAAACATAGTACATGATGTATAAGGAAGTCATAAAAAAAATGCAAAGTATCATTATCTGAAGAAGAGTTATGTCCCTTTTATAGTTTTATGCATGAGTATTAAGTCATATGTTATTATTAGCTAGGTTTTAAGTACTTAATAATGATAATATGGAGGTTATTTTTTTTTTTTTTTTTGTAATTTTTCTTGTGATATGACCTTTACATTTTATGCCTTTAAGAAATTTCACTGCATCTTTGTTCTATATTAAGAGAATTGATACAGAGGCATTCTGATATAAGACACATATTGTTAGATTTTTTCCTTTGTTCCTTTTTATCTCACTTTTAAAATGATAAAAACTACTATAGTTACTAATAATTTTTTTTTTCATTTGTTTTTCAGCATCAGTTTTGAAGTATATAAGTCTTGTCTTACTGACAGCCCAGAATGCCGTGTTTATCTTGTCTATGCGATATGTACGGACACGTGAAGGAGACATGTTCTTCACTACAAGTGCCGTGATCCTGCAGGAAGCTATCAAATGTTTTGTCAGCCTTATCATTATTCTGGTACAGGTAAATGTCATTTTATGCCAGTATCATTTCTATTTTCATACACTGCAAAAATTGTGCAGTGAGAGGCAAGTGGTTTTAGGTCATTGACCTTAACCACTCGGGAATGGATTGGCCTACACAAGTGTTGTCGGATGCTATATGTGAGGCAGCTATTGTCGGTGGTTCTACTCAGGTGCCTGTTTGTGACTGTACTAATGTACAGAGGGGCACCTGAGGTCTTTCTCTTCCAGTAAAGCTGGAAAGTCACCATATGACCTATTCTGTGTTGGTGCGATGTAATACTAGTACCCAGCCAAAAAAAGTCATGATTGGCCTAAACTTTATAAAACATAATTTTCAATTGTGAAAAGGTAAAAATAAGATTTTTTTATGGGAGAAAAGTGCAGTATGTAGCTGAAATGTAACAGTGTAAATAGTTTAAGATGACATTGGTCAGCCTAGATAAATAACTGATTCAAGTTCTTGATGTAGGACATTAAAACAGTCAAAAAAGTTTATGAACAAACAAAGGCAAGAAAGAAATTTAGGTCTCTTAGTATGCTTTAACCATAAATGATAACATCACCTTCTAATATTTTAAAAAATAATTCTCATCAATATTTAGTTTATGAATTATGTATTGTATAATGATATTATATTTATTGCAGGAAGGGTCAGTGAAAGGATGGCTTCATCATTTAAATGAGAACATTTTGAAAAATCCTTTAGATTGTATAAAAGTGTCTGTGCCTTCCCTAGTCTATACTCTACAGAACAACTTGATTTTTATTGGCGTTTCTAACCTTGATGCAGCTGTCTTCCAGGTAGGTTACAATAGGTTATTTTTATTAAAGGAACTCCACTGAGGTCCAAAATCCTAAAAACATAAAAATTGAATTTTTGACATAGACCAGTTTGGGCATTTGAAAAAGGAAGATATGACAAGATAAGTGAGAAATATACTCAAAAATGAATTAAAAATCATACTTTTGTGTTATTTTAGCCAGATTTAAGTGAAAAGCGTTGCAACACTTTTCAATTTTGGATCATCTTTCACAATTAGAATAATTATTTTCAAACAACAGAGTGTGGGAATGATCTGAAATTTTGCACATAAGTGAGTTGTTTAGACCTACAGCAAATGCAATATTATTTTCAAAAAAAAAAAAAAAAAATCCCAGTCATGTCATGTCTTAAAACCTCAGTAGAGGAGATGCGCATATCGTCGGCTTGTTCCGGTCCGACCCTTTATCTCAGAGTTATGGCCCTTGATTAGTTATGTAGTATGTATATAGAGTAAAAATCGTTTCCGGAGTAGTTCTCTGCAACTACTGGCTGGAATTCAACGAAACTTTATGGGAATCATCAATACCAAGAGGAAATGCGCATATCGTCGGCTTGTTCCGGTCAGACTCTTTAACTCAGAGTTATGGCCCTTGATTAGTTATGCAATATGCATATGGATTAAAAATCGTTTCCGGAGTAGTTCTCTGCAACTACTGGCTGGAATTCAACAAAACTTTATGGGAATCATCAATATCAAGAGGAGATGCGCATATCGTCAGCTTGTTCCGGTCAGACTCTTTAACTCAGAGTTATGGCCCTTGATTAGTTATGTAGTATGCATATAGAGCAAAAATCGTTTCCGCGCTACTTCTCTGCAACTACTGGCTGGAATTCAACGAAACTTTATGGGAACCTTCAATACCAAGAGGAGATGCGCATATCGTCGGCTTGTTCTGGTCAGACACTTTAACTCAGAGTTATGGCCCTTGATTAGTTATGCAGTATGCATATAGAGCAATAATCGTTTCCGCGCTACTTCTCTGCAACTACTGGCTGGAATTCAACGAAACTTTATGGGAACCTTCAATACCAAGAGGAGATGCGCATATCGTCGCCTTGTTCCGGTCAGACACTTTAACTCAGAGTTATGGCCCTTGATTAGTTATGCAGTATCCATATAGAAAAATATTTGTTTCCTCGCTACTTCTCTGCTTCTACTGGCTGGAATTCAATGAAACTTTATGGGATACTAAGAGATGTGCATATCGTCGCCTTGTTCCCGGTCAGATACTTATAACTCAGATTTATGGCCCTTGATTAGTGATGTAGTATGCATACATCTCATTGGCATTTCCAGATTTTACTATTTAACACAAAATTATGGCTCTGTTATTGCCCTGAATATTTATCAAGTTCAAAGAATATTACTGTTTATGCCATGATTAATATATAAATAAAGCCTTATGTCTTCAGTTGTTGTGTTAATAATAACCAGTACTCGGCGGGGGATATAAATTCAACGAATTTGCTTGTTTCATATTTATATAACTAATATAACTGATAGAATTTATGAAATTGGTACATAAAGTAATATTTACAGTATATGAAACAAGTTAATTATGAGGATATAACACTGGCTGGGTGACATCTTGGGATGTTTCTGCAAAAAAAAAAATGTTGAGGCTGTTAGATATTCTATTGGACTTTGGGAATGTCTTGTTTTGCTGTTGGAATCTAAAGGTCATGAATGAATTGTAAAACATGTTGTAGTGAACAGAAATATCTGAAATATAAGGAGAGTAGAATTATAAACATGAAGTGTAGTTTATACAGTGGTCACAGCTTGCTGGTAGCTTGCTTTATGTTCTTTTCCTGGTTAAATCAGCTAACACTTGGCTGATAATTCCCTGTAAAATGATATTATTCCTTGAGTAACATTAATCCATATTTTTTGCAATAGAATTGTATATATGTAATTGTATAAAGGTTGTAAGGACTTAAACTCTCACTGCAATGTAAGGATGGTCATGATATAACTTGTAATCCAAGTGAAAATATTAAAACTTCACTTGGAAGAGGCATAAAGGCCTTGACAAAAGATTTCTTTTAATAAAAGAAATGATTTACAATACTTGTCACAGTTAATGAATTGATATTGATTTTATCTGATTAATGATTTTTTTTTTGTATGACATGTACAAGAGGTGTTTATATAGAAGGAAATTAGGCCTAAACTTGTCAAATATTTATATAAAATCACATGTTATAGTTGTGCACAGGTCATACACATTTTTTCACATAATATGTCTCATTATCATAAATTCCACTCGTACATTAACAGTGATTTCTCTTCAAAGGGCACTTAAACAGAAATTTATTTAGAAGATATTTAAGAAATATGTTTAAATATACATAGAAATAAATGGCAAATCGTAATTTTGAACTATTCTAAGAGAAAAGCGTTACAGTTGTAATGATCATTCTGGAAAAAAAAATCAAAGTAAGAAGATGATCTAAAATTTTGCATACAAGTTATTAGTCTTACCTTCTAGATGAAAAATTAATTAAAAAAACACACTCCCATTGTGTCAAAATACCTAACTTGAGTTCCATTAATTTATAAACACAACCTGAATCAGTGTTTAAAAAAAATGTTTTCATAGACAATTAAGATTTTTAATGATTTTTTTAAGTGCACATGAAGTTGAAATAAGTGTATCTTGCATTAAAAAAAAAAAGATAACATTTTTTTTTCTCTTCTAAAATTTAAAAACGAACAGCAGTTTTTTTATTTTCATCAAATGTTTAAACAAAAACAAGTTTGTTAGGTTCAAGGGGGGATTTTTGGGACTAGTTTGTTTTGGGTTTTGGGGGGGCCCGTTTTTCCCCCTTTTCCCGTACAAATTACAACCTGAAAACCCCTCCAAACAAGTCTTTAAAAATTTTAGTTTCCACAAAATCCATTTAATAAGGGGTTTTTTGTTATTTAAAGGCCCGCAAAATGGTTTTTTTTTTTTTTGGGGGGGTTTTGGGGCCCCGGGTTTTTGGGTTTTTTTTTGAAAAGATTTTTTTTAAGGGGCAGGGACAGTCCCGGGGTGGGGTTTTAAAAAATTTTTCAGTTTGGTGGAATTGGGGCCATTGTCGGATACATTTAAAACCCTTTAAAATAAGTTTAATTTTTGCTGCCCGGTTTTTTTTTGAAAAAAAAAGGGGGGTTTTTTTTCCTTGGGGTTAAAGAAAGTGGGTTTTTTTTTTTGTTTTAAAAAAAAAAACTTTTTTTTAAAATTTACAATTTCCTGCCCGGAAAGGGTTTGATTTTTTGGGGTTTTGTAAAATTTAAAATATGCGGGAAATATTTTTTAAAAAGGTTTTTTGGCTACCTCCGCAAACTTTTTTAATTTATAATCATGCAAAAATTGGGGGTTTTTAAAATTTTAATTTTTTTTAAAATTTCTCACTTTCAAAAGAATTTCCGTATAGGTGCATTTCCCCTTTTTTTATGTTGCAAACCAATTGTTTTTAGTAAAATTTTTTTCCACCTTTAGACGGGCTTCAAAATTTTTTGGCCCCCCCTGGAAAAGTTACGAAACATAAAAGAAAAACATTTTTTCATAATTTTAAAAGCCCTTAAACCCGGGAAAAAATTCCCCAAAGTTTTTAGCCCAAATTTTTGGAGGGGGCTAAATTGAAAATTTTTTTATCTTTTTTAGGTTTTTTTTAAAAAATTTTGCTTTTAAAGGTTTTATTACTTTCTTGAGGTTCATTTTTAAATTTTAAAATTTTGTTCCCATGTTTGTTTGGAAAAAAGTATGTTTTTTTTGTAGTTTGCTAGATTAAGGTTAAAATACAAATTTAAAATTTTAGGGCACCCGATTAGAAAAAAATTTGAAAAAAAAAAATTCAAAAAAATTTTATTAAAAATTTTTTTAAAAGGTCCAAAATTAAAAAAGGCCCGGGGTTGGAAAAATGAATAGCCACAAAAAAAGATTGAAATTTGGTGAAGAAAAAAAATTAAAAAATACCATATTTTTTATTTTTTTTTTTGGTTAAACCTTTTTTAATTTTTTAAAAAAATAAATAGGGGTGGTCTGTTTTTTTTTTCCGGGAAAAGGGAAAACTCTTGTGGGCCAAGTGTTTTTAGGCCCTTGTTTTTAAAACCCCCGGGTTTATCACTGGTACATTGATTTCCCCGCCCCCAGAAATTTTTTTTTTCTTTTACCCCTACTGTTATAAAGCCTTTTTTTTGCTAAGGTTGGGACCCAATATTTAAAATGGTCTAAAAATTTTTAAACCTTTATTAAATGGGGAGGATTTTTGTTTTTTTATTTGGCCAGGGTAAAGCCCCAGAAAGGGAAAACCCAAAATGACCCTTTTAAGGTTTTTTTTTTTCCCCAAAAATTAAAAAACCCAAATTTTTTTTAAAAACACAAAAATTTTTTTCTTTCCATGTCCCCGTGGTTTTTGTAAAAACCAAAGAAAAAATAAAAAAATAAAACCAAAAAATTGAAAAATTTTTTAATTTTCCCCCCCAAGTTTTGGCCCCAGAAAAATATTTAAAAAATTTTTTAAATTTTTGTTTTTTAAAGGGGAAAAACCTATTAAAATATTGGGTTTCCCCTTTAATCCTAGAAGGAAAAGGGGAAAGAAAAAACCCATATTTTTTCATTTTTAATTTTTAAAAGATTGGAAAAGATTTTAATAACCCTGGTAATAAACCCCCCAAAATGAAAAAAATTTTTAAACCTTTAAAATTTATTTTTTTCCGACATTAAATTTTGATGGTAAGATAAAAAAAAAAAAATTTATTTTTTAATTTTTTTACAATCATTAAATGTTTAAAAGTTTAAAATTTTTCATGCCCTTTTAAAACCAAAAAAATTTTTTAAAGGGTTTTTGGTTTAATGCCCTTAAATTTTTTTTTTGGGCCGTTTTTTTTTTGGCTTTTTTTTAATTAAATATAAAAAATGAACTGAAAATTTACTTTTTTCAAAAAATTTGGGAAAAAGTTGGAAAAAAAAAAAAAAGACCCCGAAATTTTTTTCCCCCTTTTTAATTTTATTTTTAATTGGGGGGTGGGGGGGCCCCTTGGGAAAAA